GTTTCGTACATATAAGCACTGGTAGCACTCATCGTGTGACCGGGTTTGAAAAAAATTATATCTTAAAAAGTATTATTTATCTATTTATYTATTTATTTCTAAGCTGAACTCGCTAGGGGTGCAGTTGCATACCCTGCACAYCCCGTGTGCACACCTATGCACCAGGCACCAATCTACATGCTCCTAGTTATTCAAATCATAACATTTTCATTTTCAGAATCCAATTATGTGTCATACAAAACCTTATCTTTGAAAATGGTACAAGAATCTTATCGTATTTGTAATTGGCTTATAGAAAAGGAATGCAGTGAAATGGATAATATTTTTGATATAGATTCATATGTTGATAAAATTGTAAGTTATTTCATTATATTATTTATATTGTCGAATAATTTAAAAATGTAAACAAATTTTTTTTTTTAATTTTAGATTCAAGCATGTGCTAATAAAAAAGATCCTTTAACCCATATAAATACTTTATTCAATGGTGCCTTCAAAAACATCCATTATTTTAATCTAAGTTTCTACGGGAAYATAAAATCAGAAGAGCCTCTTGAAGCCCAAGTATTAACACAATCAAAGAAAGAATACAGAAGATCACAAAAAAGGACTCTAGATGATTTAGTAATTCCCGATGAGGTGTATAGAATATTATAAAAAATAATATGCAATTTACTGTGATTATTACATTGACATTCATTGGTTTTATTGATATTTAGGTGGGTAGTGAAACTGGTGACAACGAATTACAAATTACTTTATTAAAAGTTAAAAGCTGTTTGAAAAATGCTGTGTTAAAAAATGATGGGGACCCAATATCATTCCATATGTTTGCTATTGATCCATTTAGCTTAACATATACTATAGAAAATTTATTTCATTTGGCTTCGTTAGTAAAAGATGGTGTTGTCAAAATTGAAAGAGTTTCAGGTTATTATTTACGTTTAAAAATAACTTATCTGTAAATTATAAATGCAWAACAGAATTGATTTAAATTTACTTCTTAGTCCATTATATCATGTATTTTGGATTTTAATATTTTCTAAACCTTAAAACATTCCTGTTTTTAAATGCAATCAAAAATAATATTATGATATTATAAATTTATTAGATGTTTGTAAGAAAATAAGTTTTTTTTAAATAATAATTTCTATAACGATGCATTGGTCTTATATATAATACAATTCAAACATTATTTTATCCATACAGATGATAAAGATGAAGAGTTTTCAACAATAACATTGGCAAAAAAAAAAAGTACTAATGCTAAATCTAAAGTAGAYGACAACATATCATTTTTATTCACAATGAACCATGAATTATGGCAGGTAATTATTATCTTTTATTTTTGACTTATTGTATTTTATCATTACAAATATCATTAACAATACTTTTTTATTAATACCTTTAGTAAATATAAAATTTATATTTTTCAGCATTATATCAAAAAATATCATATAACTAAACGATTGATTCTACAAGATGAGTAAAATGAAAATGACTATGAAAAGAATTTCGACTGTTGAAATTGTTTAAAATCATTTTGATTTATATATATATATATTTTTTTTTAACTACTTAGTTTAGAATTGAAAATAACATGGTATAAAAGTTTTTTGGTGGTTCTAAATTCAACCTTGTAATTCTCATAATAGTTTCATCTTAATTAAGATATTTTTTATGACCGAGTATGTGTTAATATATTTAAATTAGAAAAATAAAATTCTTTTTATTCAAATAATTACCTAATCTAGAAATTCTATAGGCTAAACCTGTGTAAAAAAAAAGAGAGAGAGCCAAGATGTTGACCATATCATTTACAAAGTTCAGWATTTTGTACTGGAAGAACGAGGGTTAAACCGGTTTAGCCTAGCAAATTTTTATATATTTTCATTCTTAATTATTGATTAATTAAATTAAATTATTTAAATACCTTCCACTTTTCCTGTCTTATATGTTAAATTCCTGAAAAGTAATAATTTTAGTCACATTTTATTATTTTATTTATAATAAAAGAATTTTTGTTGCTTTGGAATATTGATGTCAAAATAAAAATTAATATTTTCGTTAATTTGTTTTCTAAAAAAAATATATGTTTACTAATCAAATGACAATGTTAGGCAAATCATAACCTGATTAATGCTTACTATTACAATTTGTAGTTACAAATCGTAAAATAAATTATTTTATTCAATAATCACAATAACATATTATTTTATATGATTTAAGCAATAATGTCATCATAGATTGATTGCAATTAAAAGGTTGTTAATTATTAATCATGTGATTAATGATATTTCAATAACTATTTTGAATTGAATAACAGCTATATTTTTGAGATGAAAATTTAAATAATATACAGTTTAATAACCACTATAGTTTAATTTATATGACATATCATAACTGTTCATAACTGTTAATTATTTTTAAGATATTGTTATAAAAACAAGAAGTATAGAGTAAATTTAACAATGATAAAAGCAATTTTTATATATTTTAGATAAAAATAACTATTAATACCAAAATATATTATTTTTAGAAAGAAACAATTTTTTTAATAATAAATTGAATGTAATCATAGAAATTACGATAAACTCGATTGATATTAATCAATAAAAACCATAACATTTTTATAATATATTTGCYTTTAAATTTTAATACAACACATATTTCAAATAATTGATCTGATAATGTATGAATTCTTGGTTCATTTATCATTGTTGAAAATAAAAAGTCTTTCCACGGGTGCTGACGACAAAAGTGGAGTATTGT